TCTGTCTCTGAGACAAAGGTTTTCAGTCTTAAGACCAAATTTAGTGTTGCATCAAGAGCAGAAAAAAGCCACACAGGAAGAGGCCAGTTCTCACCTGCTTCCTATACTTCAGTGTGATGTTCAGTCAGTCAGCAGCAAGACAACATGGAGGTCACAGCTCTCTGCATCACACTGTGTGAGTACTGAGTCTGTTTGATTAAAACTAAATGAGAAAGAAGTTCAGAAATTCTGTGATCTCTTAATGTTTCTGTATCAGTTATGAGATTTAACAGATAATACGTAGACTGTGAGGAGCAGCTGTAGGCAAAAAGCATATGGACTTCATAAGCATGTCTCTGTATGTTTAGCTGTTCTTCTTTGTCTCCTCAGTGATGACTGTGTTGTTCCTGCTGTGTGCACGTGATCAGAAAGTTGGTAAGAACCAGTTAGATGTTCCTTTATGTTTTTAAATCATCAACTGTTGTAACGATACAGTTTCTGCTGGGAGGTGTTTGTGGTAGAGTATGAAAGAAAAGGAGGAAAATATGTTCTGCTGTGACTTTGGTGAGCTGACATTCAATGTATAAGACTTTTTGAAAAAGATAGGATGTTTCCATTACTTTTTATGTGCAGACACATTCATTTGATTTATTTTGGTTCTATTACTGGAGAACTATATTCCAGTAGTTAAGATGTGATTTGAGAGCAAATCTCTTCTTTTTGTTTTCAGATTCAGCAGTTCTTCATATTGAACCAAACAGACTGCAGTTCTTTGAATATGAAACTGTAACTTTCCACTGTGAGGGGCTCAAAGAGGAGGAGCTCTCATGTAAATCTTCTAGCAGTCTGACATCATCAATGTTATCCTGCGCCATTAAAAATGCTTTTCCGGAAGACAATGGAGAGTACTGGTGTGAAGGTAAAGGGGGGAAGAAGAGCAACAGCGTCAACATCACTGTCACTGGTACGTTTGAATTAGCAGCATTTCTCAAACCTCTCCTGGAGTGCCCCATGTCCTTCATGTTTTAGATCTCTCCCTGCCCCAACACTGCTGATTAAAATGATCAACTCATTGTGAAGTCCTGAAGCTGCTTGAAAACAAGCTCATCATTAAAATCAGCTATGTCGGAGCAGGGAGGCCCTATTTAGACCCGGTACTAACATCTGTGGCAGTGATTGAAACACTTGTGGACAGCCAAGACACAATGCTGATCACACCTGTGCATGTCATGCATCTCCAGATTCAGATTCTGTCCAGTATGATATCAAACAAACTGTTGTACATGTATTTTTCGGGGGATATCGTGAACTGCTCTATGAGAGTATGTTGAACTTTGTTTAACTTGTTTACATTTGTATTTTGTTTAGCCTATGTGTGATCGGATCACCCAAAATGCGTGTTAATTCCAGGTCTAAACAGACTCGCAGAGATCTAAAACACAGGACATGGAGTACCTCAGGGGAGGTTTGCATTAAGACAACATGATTTTGTCATAAATTCATCATCAGTTTCATTTGAGATAAAAATCACGTGTTTTTTCAGCTGGTTCAGTGATCCTGGAGAGTCCTGTCCTCCCTGTAGAAGAAGGCAACAATGTGACTCTGACCTGCAGAAACAAAACGACTTCCTCAAACCTGACAGCTGATTTCTACAAAGATGGCCTCTTCATCAGGAACAGCTCTACAGGAAAGATGCCCATCCACATTGTTTCCAAGTCTGATGAAGGACTCTACAAGTGTCACATCTCTGGAGCTGGAGGATCACCAGAGAGCTGGATGGCTGTCAGAGGTAAGTCACTGCAATGTGATAGAAATTACTGCTGCAGCTCCAAAGACCTGAGGCAAAGTTGTTGAATATGATTCCCTTGTTAAAATACTTTAAGATTACCATCATGCAAAGTTTAAATGGCTGATTTAAATATCTGAAACAAGTGTGCTGATTTTGCAAGATCAACATCTTTTACAGTAGGGGGAGGAACCATGTTATCTTCCCTTCTTTGGATGGTAATGTGTCCACTCTTGGAGGCTGAGAGAGAACAGAATCTGCTAGTGGTTTGGAGCCAACAGGAGGGTCCAACCCAAGCTTCACAGAAGGATGCATTATTATAAGCCTCAGACACATTCTCCTCCGTGTCTCTTTTGCTGTCAAAGAGCTGTGACAAAACCTTTTTGGCAGAAAACCTTTAATTAAAGAAAGAGCATGAAGAGAGAGAGCACTCAGAGTACCAAGGGACATGGTTTACAAGGCTGCTGCCTCTATCAGTGTCCTTACAGGAGCCATATCCCAGCACATTCTAAGTTAAAATGCCTTATATTGTTATTCCAGAAGAGACTACTCCAACCTCATCCAATCCCACCTCCTCCGGTCCTACCCCATGGATTGTTACGACTCTCTTATTGATGGTTCTGCTGTTGGTGGTGGGACTACTTCACCTCTGCAAAGGATATGGGCACAGAGGTACAGATACATCCCTCCAATAACTTTGTAACATGAAGCACTCATAGTTGTTGTTGTCCTGAAAGGTGCACATCCCCTTAATGTAATTATTGAAACGTTTGTGCTTTTACTCTGAAAATGTGTTATTTCTATTTATTTATTTAGTTTATATAGTCGGCTATTTCTACCCATTTTTAAATGAATCTATTCATTATTATATTCAAGATATTCTCATACAAAGGCCTGTATGATTTCCTAAGAAAATGCACACAACAGTTCAAATGTTCCTATGAATTTAGAGGCCCATAAATGATGTTATGTTCCTGACATAAATTTACATAATTAACGTCAAGTTGTGAAGGTTAAGTTTAGGCAAGTAAAGGAAAAGAAACATGGTGAGGACATACCTTAAAATGACTCAAAGTTCACACGGTTACAAGCGCTGGTCTCCAAGCAAAGTCCTGGAGGAAAGTCCTTTGTTTTGCGACCCATACACCACCCCAACCTGCCTCCTAACTGGACTGCTTCCTTCTTTACTCCCATCAGTGCACTGGTCACATGATCACAGCCTTCCAAACGATGTGGGTTATGAACCAATTACAGGCTCATCATTATGTGGGATATGTATGAACTTTGGTGCATTACTTTTCATAGGAAAATGTACCAAGTGTGTAAGAGCACCCTGGATAATTGCAGTCATAAAATAAAGCACAAAATAATAATAATATTTTCTCTATCATGTCTCAAATACCTTCATCTTCTCCTCCTTTTTTCCCTGTTGATGTTGTTATTTTTCCTTTCTTGTACTGCAGTATTGGACTATCTGTCCACAGTGACTCTTCGTTCAAGCTCAGCTGAGAACCAAACAGGTAAGAACACGAACTACGAATCAAGAGCACTTTCAACAACCCATACAACAAAGCACTTCAAACAAGGCAGCAAATTAAATTATACAATTAAATATCAAGTATTAAATGCCAATGTCAACAACCTATTTAACCACAGAGTGGGTTTGAAAAAACTAAAGTGAAATCATCCTGTCTGGTGTCATTACTGTTGATAATTGTTATGTCAGTTGTGATATGAAAACAAAATAGGTAACAGGCAACATGAATTTCCTGTTTGTATTCTGTCTAGGTATTTGTACGTCTACAGTATCTGCTATGTGAAGTGATATGTTATTTGTTTCAGTCTCTGTAGAGGCCAGTGCAGCTGATGAGGACAAAGTGATGTATGCTGCTGTAACAAAAAACAGGAAGAAGAAAGGTACTAAAAAAGACATTGTTATTTTTCCTTTATGTCTTACTTGACACACTTTTCTACCTCATGTCAAATACCTGCCACAGCAAGCAGTATCTACATTGTATATTTAGTTTAGTGAAAAGCTCAGTTTAGTTTTAGAATGTATCAACTGGTTTACAAAGTCACTGCCTCACCCTTTAGTACTAATAAGAGTTGTAGTGCAAAAATATGACTATGGTGTAACAAGCGTTAAAAGTTTCATTATAAATATACAGTAAAAATGTTTGCCATTGTCTCAGTCTTTGTGAGATGCTGGGTGCTGGTGATAAATGTGTATGTGCTGGTGGTAATTTGAGCTTCCTGGTTTCAAACCACAAAAGACAACCACAGAGAAAACAAGGGCCCCTCAGTGTATGTGGAGTAGAGGTTATGAGTTGGCTTTACACAGAACAAAATGGTCA